TCAGGGTTCAGGGTTGGCTGTTTAGGGTTTAGACCTTAAGGGTTTAGGATTTCCGGATGCCGGATTCAAGCAGGATAGTTTCAGAAGAACGTTGCAATTCTAGCTAACGAACCCTCAAAACCTTAAAGCCGTGCTACCCGAATTCTTTAAGCCCCGTAAGCCTTTGGAAGAGATGCGAGGTTCAGAAGAAGGACCGATACATAGTTTACGTTAGTTCAGGGGCATTGGGCCTTACACTGTTACACCCTCAAACCTCAAGCCCTGAAAACCCTTAAACCCAGAATCCCTTAAGCACCCATAGCACACCCTCAAGATCCCTTAAGCCTCCCCTTCCACCATAAACCCTAAACCCTAAGCCCTAAGCCCTAAGCCCTCAGCCCTAAGCCCTAAGCCCTCAAGCCCTAAACCCTAAAAGCCCGGAACTAAACCCGAAAAGCTTTGAACGCCAAGTGAGCAGCGTTTTTTTTCTACGAGCAAGGCTACGTAGAGACGCGATCATTGAAAGTCGGCCGCGTAGCATTTTGCCTGCAGGGCGTAGGTTTGCGTAGGGTCCGCGTAGGCAAGTCTATGAAGTATGGGCGCGTAGGTCCGCGTAGGTTGTCTATGCTTGCCGCGTAGGTCCGCGTAGGCACACGTCAACAACATACTCCGCGCGTAGGCCGCGCGCCTACTAAACATGAGCTGACGCGTAGGCCCGCGTAGGATACCCATGCCATTACAACACCCCACACAACGAAAAAAACAAATGCTCAAGTGTAGACTGGAAGTTTGCTTGGGTTGCGCTCCCGAGGATATCTTTTTTGATCTTCGCTTCGTGCTGCTTGGTCTTGTGTGGTTCAGGGGTTTAGGGTGTGGGGGTTTGTGGGGGTCTAGGGGTCTAGGCGTTTAGGGGTTCAGGGGTGTAGGACTTAGGGATGTTTTTAGGGTTCAGGGTGTAGGCTTGTAAGGTTCAGGAGTGTTTGAGCAGGGGATGAAGTGTGAAGCAAGATCAAGCAGCAGGCCTAACGTTAAGGTCGCTCCCCCCCCCCCCCCCCCCACCCACTCCCAACCCCCACCCCCCAATCCCCGACCCCCCCCGGGTGGGATCGATTGATCCATGGATGATTTGATTCTGACGGCTCCTGTGAAGAAGTTTCCCAAAAGTCGTGCCCTGACCCCAAAATCCCAATACCCAAGCTCTTAGCGTGAGCCCCTAGTTGCACCTAGACCCCTCAAGCCCTGAGCCCCTAGCCCCTACAAACTCAACCCTTAACTCCTAAACCCTAAGCCCTAACCCTAAACCCTAAACTCTAAACCCTAAACTATAAGCCTCTAAACCCCTAAACCGAACACCTAAGCCAGAGGCTCATGAGACCATTCGCTTGCGCCAAGCCGGTGTCTTTCTTCGCATTAGACTGCAAGAACAAGGACCAGAGAGCCTTTCAGGGGAAAAAACCCAGGGTTTGGGGTTGAGGGTTTAGGGTTGAGGGTTGAGGGTTGTGCAAGGAATATTCCCCGAAACGGCCCCGTTGGTGCTGCCTGGCTGCCTGGTTTTCATAGCTTGTGTTCTTAGTGTGGAGAGCTAGCTGAAACCCGAAACAGGGTTTTGGAACTATACTTTAATACTTTTTCGGTTCTGGGTTCCGATTATAGCTACTTGTACCCAAAAGGTATATACTTTTTTTCCCAGGGTCTACTCCAAATGAGGAAGAAACCCGAATCCCTAAACCCTACCACTGGGGTTCTGCTCAGGGGCCCCAATGCCCGAAACCCTACGCCCTAAACCCTTACCCTCCCTTAACCCTAAAATTTAAACCCTAAATAACTTCATAAGGGATTATCATTATGTCCTCATTAGGAACACATGGCCCCTAAACCCTAAGCCCTCTAAGCCCTAAGCCCTAAGCCCTAAACCCGAAGCCCTAAACCCTAAACCCAAAACCCTAAACCCTAAACCCTAGACCCTAAACCCTAAACCCTAAACCTCAGCAGGAGACGGACTCCCCCGACCTGGTGGTGAACCAGCTGCGCCTGAGCGTCGAGGACCTGGCGTCCTTTTGTTGCAATGCAAAAAACGCCGAAAAGTTGTGAACCTCAGAGATCCCTGCACCCCCTGCGGGCTTAGGGTTTAGGGTTATGGGGTTTAGGGTTTAGGGTTTAGGGCTAAGGGTTTAGGGTTTAGGGTTTAGGGCTAAGGGTTTAGGGTTTTGGGCCAGGGTTTAGCGCCAGCAATGTGAGACATCTCTTGGGTCATGCCTCTCTTTCGTCAAGCAGCCGAGCTGCTCCTGCATGGGAAGCGGCAAAATGCTCTGAGCCCGAGATTTCCACCCTAAACCCTAAGAAAGATGCTCTCAACTCTACAGACTTACTGGGAGAATTTAACCCAGGTAAACTCTACAACTGGCCGGCAACCCAACCCCAAAACCCAAAACCCAAAACCCAAAACCCTAAACCCTAAACCCTAAACCCTAAACCCTAAACCCTAAACCCTAAACCCTAAACCCTAAGCCCTAAGCCCTAAGCCCTACGCCCTAAGCCGTAAGCCCTAAGCCCTAAGCCGTAAGCCCTAAGCCCTAAGCCCTAAGCCCTAAGCCCTAAGCCCTAAGCCCTAAGCCCTAAGCCCTAAGCCGCTAAGCCCTAAGCCCTAAGCCCCTAAGCCCAAGCAAAAAAGGGCCCTAAGCCCCAGGGCCTTACCCCAGGATAGCTCTTGGGCCGAGTATGCTGAGTGCAACCTCGGCCGCTTGGGGACCGGGAGCTGAAGGAGGGTCTAAGGTTTAGGGTTTCGGGTTTAGGGCTTCGGGTTTTCGCGTTCAAAGGTCTTGAGGTTTCTGATTTTTTCAAGGCGTTCTCAGAGTTTTTTAAAAGGGCACTTTCGGCCGCTTTTTCAACGGGGGGGGGGGGTTTCGAGTTCCGGCCTCAGGGTTCTAGGCCCGGATGGGGCTTCGGGAGAGGGGGGATTAGGGTTTAGGGTTTAGGGTTTAGGGTTTAGGGTTTAGGGTTTAGGGTTTAGGGTTTAGGGTTAAGGGATTTCCGGGGGGGGGGGGGGGGGGGGGGTGGGGGTTTGGCAGAGAGAGCCCGCACAGCACAGGCCTTCAAGGGGACGTCGACCCTTTTGGCAATCCGTGCCGGGCGGGCAAGTACTGCTGCTACTGCGGCAAACCGCTCCTGGGCAAGTGGGGATTCTTCGCAACTCTGGTTTTGAACAGTTTCCGAGGGTCGAAGCCAGGCGTTTGCCCCTAAAACCCAAAGCCCTTAGACCCTAAACCCTAAACCCCTCAATCCTCAATCCTCAGTCCTAAACCCTCAACCCGAACCAGGCTGTAGGTTAGGTGTCCATAACTCGAAAGCATCACTTTGTTCCTGGACTCTTCTATCACTCCTCCGTGCCCAAAACCCAAAAATGCCTAAAGTCAAGAAAGACACAACCAACTCAAGCAACCCACAGGGAAGTGAGGAGACATGAATCCACGCCCGAAGGGACAAGATATGGGCCTCCCTCGCCCTCGGGTTAGGGTTGAGGGTTGAGGGGACGCGGATTGAAGGTTCAGGGTTTTGGACTTAGTTCGGGGTTTAAGGCAAGTTCGGGGGATTTAACGCTTGGGACACTACATCCCCAGACCCTGGTGCGCGGTCCATGCTGGACACTTAACAAGATAAAAATCATCGGAAGCTTTAGACTTCCTTGTATTGCGTATCTATGAGGGCCTGAACCCCTACACCCCTCCAATCATCCTAAAGCCGAATTTCCCCAAACCCCCAAATGAAATTGGGGTGTGTATTCCTGTTTCTGGTGGGTGTATGCGTAACTGGATCACTACTAAATACTGTTGAGTGCAGGTCTTGGGCCTTCAATGGCCTTCAATCAGAGCCCTGCCTCATATCCTAACCCCCCCTACCCCCCCCAGCCCCTGAGTCCTTCAGGTTCTTCCGCCAGCCCAAGCCATGCCATGGCACGGCTGGTCGGCTGGAGGCAGGTTTTCAGGGCTTCTCTTCTGGTTTCTGTTGTCGGCTTTAGAAAGGTTTAGGACTTGGGTTGCAGCTTCGCAGCCTTCATTCTGTCTTGCCTGTCCATCTGCCGGCAATAGCATAGAACGCATAGGTCCAGCATCAGGAATCGTGCAGTGCCTATACTATACTCAGAAACAACGGTGGGCGAGTACGCCTCCTGGCTGGAGGCAAGCTGGCTTGGCGGACGATTCGTTTAGTCCTGCAAGTTTGTGCTGCGTGTTGCTTCTGCTACTGCTGCCAGAGGTGGGGGGCAGAAGGGGGGGGAGGTCTGGAGGATGTATATGAACTAGTAGCCCTGAGGTCCATTTGCAGTACGATTATGGACTTAGGTACCCGTTTAGCACGGTATAATTACATACATAGCACTACGAATAAATGGACCCTGTGGGTAGCGGGGTTTCGTCCAATTTTGCCATTGTTTTGGTCTCGTGACAGCTTGGCCTGAGCGACTCGGGCTCGTATGCTTTGGTTCGCCCACCCAAGCACTAAGCCCTGTCCCTTCATATGCCACGCCGTAGGATTCGTTGCAGCACCTAATTTTGCGAGCACTCCCCGCGTGCAGCTGGTAGCTGTGTCTGGGTGCTCTTTCCAGATTTGTCAGAGTAGCTTCGTTAAGAAGGCGGTATACTAACACCTTCAAACCAGAATAAGCACCCACAGGCGATTTAAGGGTTCTTCCTGAACGGACTCTGGAAGATCTGGGTTTCTTGTTGCTGTTACTTGAAGTGTCATGCGAAGATGTCAGGGGATATTCCTCTCAAACTTGCCATCTGTGGCAGCCCTGCTCTCTGATAATACTGAACCGCCAAACATGGCGTTTGTAGATGAGTGTGTGACTGGTGTGAGACCATCAGTAGACACCATCTACCCTTCTTATCCGACGTATCCATCCTTTGGGCTTCACGGGCAGCCTTGGGGCCAGCCGTGGGGAGTCACGCCCTACCAAGTGCTCCCCTCACGTCTCAATCGGCTGCTCTACGGCAGCCTGACTTTGTCAGAGTCCGTGTCCGAGA